TGAATGGTTAATTTTGATTAATTGTTAAAAAGGGAATTTAACCATACGATTAGGAATTTTGGGCAATAACCTTGTTGAGTTGAAATTGAGCGGATTATGATTTTGTATTCGGTGGGTTGAGCTTTTGGTTAAATGAATGAAACTAGTCTCTTCATTATATATGCACATGTACAAAATTTGGTGTATTGCGAATTAGAAATTTCGAAAATTAACATTAGAATGTAGAGAAAATTGTAACTCTTTTGTGAATTGAGAAAGAACCTTGGTAAAAGTTGAAAACCTTGGAACATCATAAATGTTGTTGGACCTAATGCCTCTTAAGAATTGAATGATTGTATTTCGTGCATTTAATACATTTTGCTTAGAGGTTTTTTCCTTGGTCATCGGTGGAGGATGACATTTTTGTGTTAATAGTTGTGTGTATGCATTACACCTGTTGATTGTACTTTATCATGTTGTGATGGTTGGTAACGTGTACTGTGCTGATAATGAGAGGTACCATTTCCTTCCAACTAGCACCTGGAGAATTGGCAGAGGTACCATTCCCTTCCAGCTGGTGTCTGGTAAATTGGCATTTCACTGTGAGAAAATGTATTATTGGCTTACCGTGCTTGAGGCAGGTAAAGTGGAATTGATTTAATACTATTACTTCGGTATATTGAGTGTGTTATATGTTATGGTGATTATGATTCAGTAAGGTTGAGTTGTCTCATATATTGGGTAGATGTGTTCATGTATGTGTGGACGTGCTAGAGGGTGTTATGTGAATTTCCTACCTTGAGTTATTTTATTGAAGGTATCTTTTTTTTTAAGTTTTGAGTCTAAGATTGAGAATGTGATGAATGTGTGGAGACACACTTGGGTTGTATTTTGGGTATGAACAATGTGAAGAAATCGGATTTGGTGAATGCGCTTTCAAAGGAAGAAAAAACAAAGAGAAATAAAATGGATATCATGTGTTATTTTGTCACTAATGGAAAATACGGTTATCATGTAATGATTGTTTAATTGGGAAATGGGTAGTAAAAGCGAACCTTGGTGTTGTTGAATAAACTGAACGTTTTCGAGAAAAGTAATTAAGTATGTCTACTTTGGCTACAAAATGTCACATTATTTATATGGTATCAGACTAGCATTCATGATCATAGCTATCTGTAAGTTGTTATTGCTGAGGATCACTACTGGACTTTATGTTCATCCCACGTTGCTAATCCTTTTTCAGGTGAACATCAAGGTGTGCTACAAGGTCATGGATTTTCCTTAATTGTTGGCCGCAGGGCCTTTTATTTGTGGGTGAAATGCCTTTGATGTAAAAAGGGTTAAACCCTTTCTTGTACTTTAAAGATGTAAGCCTGCGGGAAATTTAGTTAGTTATGTTCATGTTGCATTCGTTTTATATTCGTATGAGAGAACTCTTCCTTATGTATTCTTTATAAATATAATGAGCATCTGCATGCTATCTCTGAAATGGAACTTATGATAATGGCTTTGGTAATGAATTCTGAGTAATAAAAAGTGGGGTGTGACAATTTGAATATTTACCCACCATCTGCATTAGTTTCAGTTGGTTTGACCTTGCAAAAAAAAAAGGTTAGTGTAATTATATCATAATTATGTGACTAATTATATATTTCCCAAACCTCAGGAGGGATTCCGATCCGCCCAACCGATCGAATCAAATCAATCCACCGCATTTTGGATGGATGCGTGATGACGAGCGGACAGTTGCAATTGATTTTTTTCCAATCCGCCTAGTTTTAGACGGATGGCGGATTTGAGGTTCCTTTGGCCACAACCGAACCGCCAAACTGTGAGCATCCCTAGTAATTTGTAAGAATTTTTATTTTCAATTTGTTTAGATATTCTGTTTATGTGATAAATTGTCATTTTGGTCACTGATGTTGTTCCTTGGTCAATTGTGAAAATTTTACATTGGCCGGTTTGTCCGCCTAGTCGACCGCTTGCTCGTCCGTCCGGTCAACCAGTGGTTTGATGAAAAATGAAATCCTTTCGTTGGAGCAGGCAATATCAAAGAGCATTTTTACTCAAATTTAATAAAAAATGCGATATACCGTTGGAGATATCTTATATAGATGAGTTCACATTCTAGTGTTTGATTAATTTTTGTTATGTACATTATATTTTGAAAAATATTTTATCAACAAAATTGATAGATTTTTTAATCTTCAAACAAATAATGCAAAACAAATATATAATTGAAATTATATATTTTTATACTCATTGCAAAACATATGTGAATTAGGGATTGTTTAGACCACTAATCTTGAATAACTAAATATGCACTAATTTTATAAATTATTAATCTCATAACTATTAATTTTGTTCATCAAGTAGGACATAACATTCTCACATGATCTTTGTTCTCAGCAACTTCATTTCATTTTCCTCATTGTCTGATGCTGACTCATCCACCCCTTCTTCCTAGCAGCTTTCTCTATACCCAAGAAGTCTCTCTAATTAATATATAATCCATGGTTGCCTTGACAGATAGCATTCATCTCTTCGTCCTTTTGTCCTTAGTTGGTCTTTCTTGAACTTTAATAGCCAATGGAGATTGTAAGAAGCCAAAAAGCCTCCTCTTCCACTTCTCAATGTAGTTATCATGTGTTCTTGAGCTTCAGAGGTGAAGACAGTCGTAGGGTGTTCATTGACCACCTCTACACTACTTTAGTACAAGCTGAATTTTGCACCTTCAGAGATGACGATGGGATTGAAAAAGGGGAAGATATTAAGTTTGAGTTGCAGAAAGTGATTCAAGAGTCAAGAATTTCAGTAGTTGTCTTCTCAAAACACTATGCATCTTCAAGTTGGTGCCTTGATGAACTTGTAATGATCCTTAAGCATGTTAGCTTGTGATAAAACTCTCTCTAGAATGAACTATTATTTTGTATAGAATTTAACTTGTATTGATCTTGAATTTTTTCTCTTATATATTCTTCTCTTTACCCATAGGCTTACATCCTTTTATATAGAGAAGGTTATACACAAGTTCAATGAACAACCTTACAACTAACTAGGTACATGAATATAATCTAGACAATGAACCTAATAAATATAAAACACATGAATATAAAAATACATGAATACAAAGAATGCATGAATCCAATGTATCCAATGTAGCTAATGTAAATATGACATTAATTTTAACACTCCCCCTTAATGCCATATTGTGTGACATCCAATATTTCTCTAAAAAAATTCAAACTTGTCCCTTGGTAGAACTTTGGTGAAGATGTCCGCAACTTGATCTTCAGTCTTGCAAGACTTGATTTGAATCTCATCATCTTCTATAGCTTCTCTAATGAAATGATGTTTGAAGCAATGTGTTTGGTACGAGAATAATAGATGGAATTCTTTGTCATAGCAATAGTAGACTTGTTATCACACATAATTGGAGTAGCTTTACCTTGCTTCTCATCAAAATCATCCAACATTCTTCTTAGCCAAATTGCTTGTATAGTTGCCAATGATGCTGAAATATATTCGGCCTCAGCAGATGATTGTGCCACAGTTTGTTGTTTCTTGGATGACCATGAAATTATGTCGTATCCAAGATAAAATGCATACCCAGAAGTGCTTCTCATATCATCAACTCATCCGGCCCAATCACTATTACAAAATCCAAGTAACTTTACATCAACAAATTTCTCATAAAAAATTTCATAATCAAGTGTGCCTTGAATTATCTCAACACGTTTTGCAACCCCAAAATGAATTTGGCTTGGACTGTGCATAAATCGAGACAATAAACTTGTAGCATACATGATGTTCGGTCTTGTAGCAATCAAGTACAACAAACTTCCAACCAAATTTCTATAACAAGATGCTTCAGCTTCTGTGCTTCCATCTTCTTTTGACAACTTTTCATTCACAATCAAGGGAGTAGCAACTGATTTGCAATTCTTCATTTTGAATTTCTCAAGAAATGTTTGAGCATACTTCCTTTGGCAAATAAAAACACCATCATTGTTTTGGTAGATTTCAATGCCTAAAAAATGATGCAATAGCCCTAAATCACTCATTTCATATTTCTTCATCATTTCCCTTTTAAAATCTTCTATCAATTTTTCATCACTACCGGTAAAAACCAAATCATCAACATAAAGTGAAACAATGAGAATACCGATTGTACCTTGCCTCTTGATGTACAAAGTTGGCTCACTTTTGCTTCTTTGAAAACCCTTTTCACTGAAGTAAGCATCAATTTCACTATACCATGCTCGGGGTGCTTGCTTTAGGCCATATAAAGCATTCTTCAAGTTGTACACTTTATCTTCTTTGTCTTTGACAAATCCCCAAAAGAACCTATTGAAAGAGCAAAGGAAGAAGGATTCAAAGGGTCTCTCTTTGATTCAACAAGGAGTTTCAGAAGCAATCTTTCTAAGAATTATCAATGCTACAAAAGCAAAGGAGGCATGAGATATTCTTCAAAAAGAGTATGAGGCAACTTGAAGGTAAAAACCATCGAACTTCAATCACTGAAAATAGATTTTGAAAATTTAAAGAGGAAGGATATGGAATTGTTGAAGGATTATTTTTCTAGAGTTACGCAACTTGTGAACCAAATGAAAATTTGTGGGGATAATATTTCTAATCAAAGAGTTATTGAGAAAATTTTGATAAGTTTGCCAGAGAAATACAATCCTATTGTTGCTGTTGTTGAAGAAACTAAAGATCTTGTTGATTTGAGTATTGAAGATTTGATGGGTTCAATTAAAACATTTGAGCAAAGGTTGAGTAGGCAATTTGAAAAGTCTATTGAAAGTGCCTTTCAATCCAAGCTCAATGTTAGTACTTCTAATTCCCAAGGAAGAGAAAGAGGGAGAAATGCAAGCGGAAGGGCAAGAAATGCAAGAGGAAGAGGAAGGTCTAATTTTCAAAGAAAGGAAAATGAAGAGTTCACTTAACAAAAGTGTGGAATTTGCAACCGAAGCAATTATGTTGATAAAGATTGTTGGTTTCGGAGAAATCCAAAATGTTACAATTGCAACAAATTTGGGCATGTCAAGAAGGATTGCTAAGTCAAGAGCACTCAACAAGCTAATTTTTCCGAGGAGCAGGAAAGTGAAGGGCACATGTTCTATGCTTGTCACAAGGCATCGGATCAGAACAAGGATGTATGGTTTCTCAATAATGGATGTAGCAATCACATGACAGGAGATGAGAGCATTTTTGTGAAAATGGATGCTTCCTCCAGTTCTCAAGTAAAAATGGGGAATGGTGCCTTAGTCCAAACAAAATGAAATGTACTATTGCTATAGAAATCAAGATGGGTACAAGATTCGTTTCCGATGTTCTCCTAGTTCTAGACTTGGAGCAAAATTTGTTAAGTGTATGACAACTTATGGAGCATGGATACCTTGTTCACTTTGAGGAAGATTTTTGCAAAATTTTAGACAAAGGAGGGAGAAGGCAAGTTGTAGCAAAAATCAAGATGGAGAAGAATAAAAGTTTTCCTCTCATTTTTTGGTATAGCAAAATGCAGCTTTGAAGATAGATGTAATTGATAATTCATGGCTTTGGCATAGAAGATTTGGGCACTTGAATTTTCAAAGCTTGAAGCATCTACAACAAAAGGATATGGTTTTTGGGTTGCCGACCATTCATGAAGTGCAACATATTTGTGAAGGTTGTGCACTTGGAACGCATCACCGGGAGTTATTTCCAAAGGAGAAAGCATGGAGAGCTAAAGCGCCATTGGAGCTTGTCCATACCGATATGTGCGGACCTATGGATACACTAACTCATGGAGGTTACAAGTA